ATTGCACACATCTTTTTGGTTATTTATTAAAATAACATTTACACAAAGGTGTTTCATGCTCCTTGTAAAGATATTATAATTGATTGAAACGTACATTTTAAGTGAGAATCCTAACTTTTTTTTTAGTCCGGACAAAATGTAAATTACCTGTCTCGCTTCTCTTGCAGAGGAAAATGGCATCACTTTGTCCCAGCTTATTGGAGACCCTCCACCAGATGGTATCACGAAAGTCTCCGGACCTGGAGGGGAACCAGCCTACAACTTGAGCTCTGCAGCTGCATCGGGCCAGCTGGCCTGGGCTCACATCGGCAAAGACTTCTTCCACGACTTCTCACTCATTTTCTACATCAAACCCACCTCTCCCACTGCCTCCGTCCTCTTCTCCGTCACGGACGGGCCTCAGAAGCTCATGTACATCGGCGTGAAGCTCGGCGCGGTGCAGTCCGGCCGTCAGAAGTTGCAGTTCTTCTACACCGAACCCGATTCCGAGGCTTCGTACGAGGCAGCCAGCTTTGACGTGGCGAGCATGCTGGACAAGTGGAGTCTCTTCGCCCTGTCCGTGTCCGACGACGAGCTGATGTTTTATCCCGAGTGTACCTTGAAGCCGCAGGTGGCGAAATTTGAGCGCTCGCCAGATCCGATGGAACTGACCCAGGGAGCTAGAGTCTTCGTGGGTCAGGCAGGAGGAGCGGACCCAGACAAGTTTGAGGTAATTGACCCTGACAAACACAAATATTTTTATAATTCTTTACATTTAGCGTCATAGTAGCTTAGCGACATCCCTGTCACATACTCTGAGTTTTAACAAACCGTACAAATCCTTGAAACAAGAATGCAAATTTTAGTTTTTGATCAAAATACAAAAAGGCTGTTTATCTTCTGTGTTTACAGGATACTTTTCTATAGTCATTCAAGTTTTTACAGCTTTAAATACTCTGGCCTAAAGATTCTCCGAAAATTGTTTCGTGATTCGTTTCAATTTGACTCTGAATTATTTCATTGCAGTAAGAGAAAATTTTTAAATATTTTAGAAAATCTGTTGATTTTTATTTTTGATAAACAATTTTTTTAGTCATAAAATTTAGAAATACATGGATCAATTTGGGACTGCTGTAGCTGAGTGGTCAGTGGGGGTTCGATTCCAACAGCAGTCACATGTTGAAGTGTCCCTGGGCAAGACACTGAACCCCTCATTGCCTCCGTGTGTCCCGTCGGTGCATGAATGTGATCCAAACACAGTGGTTCCCAACCATGGTCCTTGAGGAACGCCATCTTTCAAGTTTTAGTTGTTTCCCTGCTCTAACACACCTGATTCAGTGATTTTATTACCGGTACTTCCTCAAGTTCTGCCAAAGCCTGTTAAGTACCCATTCATTCAAATCAGGTGTGTCAAAGCAGGGAAACGACTAAAACTTGCATGTATGGTGTTCCTCAAGGACCAGGTTTGGGAACCATTTAATTTAGTCTCTGCAGATTCAGACTATTTTTGTAGAGATCTTGTAGAGCGCTGTATGAATGGGTAAATGAGGGCACAGATTGTGTTGTAAAGCACTGTGAGCTTCTTCACTCGATAGAAAGATGCTATACAAGTACAGTTCATTGACCATTTTACCTGTTTTTAGAGGAGATGGTGTTTTTTTAAAAAAAGAGCAATAAACAAGAGGTATTGCTTCTCCCTCAAATACTGGTATTTCTAAAGAAAATAATAAACAGTGTATGCCGAACTAGCAAATGTTTTTTTGTGATTATCTGACTTAAAATAAGGTTTGTGTTTTAGTTCAAGGGTCTAAAAACTGAGTGTAAGTAAAGTGTCTGCTTCTGACGTCATGCCTGGTTGTGTTTGTGTTCTTAAGGGTTTATTTGCAAAGCTGAAGTTGGTGGGAGACCCCCGAGCAGTGGAGCGTCTCTGTGATGAGGATGACGACGCAAATGAAGTGAGGATGATCTTTCTGGAACAATTCAAACCAAAGCGTTTGAAATGTGTTTGAGTGACACGTTTCTCTTTGTGTTTTAGGTTTCTGGTGAAGGCAGCGGTGAAGGCAGCATTGTTCAGGTCAGTGTGTAAATTTAATTTCCTCACATTTTCCTGCTTAAAGAGGCAGTCCATCGAGTTTAAACTCTCCAAGACACTTCAAACCTGACTTTAGTGTGTTTTACGTTGCTATTATGGGGCTAAATTAGATATTTAGTCAGAGGAAAGTCCTGACCCAAAATGAGCTGACGTTTGAGAACATGTAGATATCACGTTCTAACCAATGCTTTATTTTTTTGCAGCACACAGACGCAAACCTTCTAAATTTACATTGAACTAGAGAAATGACATTTCCTGCGAAAGTGCAGTGTGAATGTTTATTGCAGAGCTTGCTGAAAAACAGCTGAAATTAGCACAAAAAACCCCTGAAATGTAGCTGAAATGAAAGAACAAGCTTAAAGTAGCAGAAGAAAGCAGAAATAACATATTTGATGAGTTAGGTTTAAATAAGCAGAAATTAGCATAAAAATGAGGAAATCAGCTAAAAAAGGCTGAAATTGGGAACAAAACAGGTGAAAATGAGCTGAAAAGGCAGAAAGAAGCTTAACCTACCAGAAGGAAGTGGAAAGAGCTGAAATGAGCTAAAAGAAAGAGGAATTAGTTGAAAAAGCTAAAATTAGCATAAAACGGCAAAAATATCAGTTGAAATAGCAGAAAAAGCTGAAATAGCAGAAAGAAGTTAATTAGGCTGAAAGTAGCAGAAATTACCACAAAAAACTTGAATTTATCTGAAAACAGCTGACATCAGCTAAAGGTTTTCATTAAAGGTAGCTGAAAAGGTTGAACAAACTTAAATTAGCAGAAGAAAGCAAAAAGAACATGTTTGCACAATTAGGCTGAAAGAAGCAGAAATGAGCACAAAAAGTGGAAATTATCTGAAAAAGCTGAAATTAGCAACAAACCCCCCACCCCCGGAAAACTAGCTAAAAATGCATAAGAAACTTAAAATACTTAAAATGTCAGAAGTGGAGAGAGCACTTTTTTCTTTTCTTTTTTTTTTTTGTGGCTGAATTAGGCTGAAAAAAGTTTAAATGAGGGCAAAAAACGTGGATTTAGTAGAAAAAGATACAATTATAAAAACAGCTAAATTGTAGCTGAAATAGGAGAAAAAGCTGAAAATTGCAGAAATAAGCTGAAAGGAGCATGACGAGCTAAAATTAGCCGAAAGAAGTTAGAAGAACCACAGAAATATTATAGTTAGCAGAAATAATCTGAAAGGAGCACAAAACAGCTGAAAAAAGCAGCTGAAATTAGCTGAAAATAGCTGATTTTTATTTATTTATTTTTTACACAAGTAAGCTGAAAGAAGCTGAACCAGAACAAAATGTGAAAGACGCAACAAAAGTTTGTAAACAGATCTAAAGATATGAAGGATGGAAAATGAGCTCAATTCATTTTCTATGGGGAAAAAAGTGGCAGAAAAGGCTAAATATTTCAAAAAGCTAAAGCTGCACCAATACCAAAAGTCACAGCAGGGTTGTCCTGAAAGAGCTGAACGTTTTGATATTTGAATTGTTGAAATAGCACAAAAATTGTGTGACAATATTTGCTCTGAAAAACATAGGGAAGACAAATGGATCACAACAGTGTGAATGTTTCATGAACATTCACACTATAATCAAAATGTGTTTATAAAACCCACATGGTCAGGTCAGGAAAACCCAGACATCCCTTCCTCCTCAACTCATCCTGGGGGATCCTCACCAGAAGGGAGATATGATCATTTCCCCGCATGATGGAGCTCCTCAGCTTCTCTTAAACTGTAGTGTCTGCTTTAGCTGTTAGCAAACAGCATTCCCAGAGGAGTCTCCTAAATGTCTCAGGACGGCTGCAGGGTTTTTTAATTCCCTCTCGCACAAAAGCTAAAGTGACCTCTGACCCGAAGGTGGTGTTTCACCCTATTTTAATTAAGAACTGTGGCTTGAGGCTACAAGGAGCTGACTCTAATCTCAGCTAAAGTGAGCTCAAAATCCAGAGGAATACATTTTGTATTGGCACATTTTAAATTATAGTCAATAATCTCTAACAAAAAGGGCTAGATTAACGTAAATGACCAAATAAATGTGTAAAAGAAAAAATATTTCATTTTCTGTTTTTTAGTAAAGTAAATATGATCAATATAATATAAAGCAAGACGTTTCCACAGTCAAACTCTTGCATGTATTCTGCTTTTATAACAGCAGGTGGCACTACTGAGCCTTCACAATATAGAGAAACTATATTTAATACAGTTTACTGCAAAAATGTAAGTGTTATATGTTGGGATAAAATAGAATAAATACTTTATTTATTTAATCGCAACTTCTGTGCAAATGTTTGATCCAAATGTTTGAGACCTTGTTTGTTTAGTGTACAATGTTTTCTTTGCACAGCACTTGTTTTTATTGATTTATTTGCCGATTTTTTTGTCCTCAGACCACTCCCCAACCGAGTGCCGTCCCAAAGCCACTCGTGATTCCCTCAAAGGGTAAGAAAGAAAAAGAAAAGTACAACCCGGGTGTTGAATGCTGTCACCGCAGAATGGAAAAGTAAAAATATAAATGGCTCTAATTTTGGTTCCCTATCTTGCAGATAAAAGCAAAGTCACTTTGTCCCAGCTGATAGTAGACCGTCAAGCTCAAGGGATCACGGTCTTAGGGACTTCCTTCTACATATTCTCTTCTGCAACCAATGTGGTTCAAAAGGCTCTGACACACGTCCCCAACCCTTTCTACCGTGATTTCACTATCATTGTTCACTTTGACAGCTCCTCTGCTGCTGCCGCCGTCCTCTTCTCCATTACAGATGAGTCAGAAAAGCTCATGTACATCGGTTTAAAGCTCGGTGCGGTGCAGTCTGGCCGACAGAAGGTGCAGTTCTTCTACACTGAACCCGGATCGGAGACTTCCAATGAGGCGGCCAGCTTTGACATACCGAGCAGGCAGCACATGTTGTACATTCTAGGGCTGGCTGTGACTAAGGATCAGGTGACTTTGTACTCGGACTGTAATCAGGAGCCACAGGTGGTGAAGTTTCAGCGCTCGCCCGATCCAATCATGCTCAGTGAGGGCGCCAAGATTTTTGTGGGTCAGGCAGGAAATGCTGACCCGGACAAATTTGAGGTAATCTATGTTTAACAAAGTCTACTTGTGTCAAGAGTATATGTTTAATGTACCATTTTAAAAATAAGTCATTAATTTTTATCTTAAAGTATGGCATTTTTCACATTCATTCAGCCTTTATTTATACAGGTTCATCCCATTGAGCCTCGGGGACTCATTTACAAGAGAGTCCTGATTTTAACAAAGAGTGATGACAACAGTAGACAACAAAGACAACAGTAGACGATCATAAAAAGTATACAAATTGAGAAGAAAGAATAAAATAAAATGGTGTAAAAAAAAAAAAAACAACACAAAAACAGCTACGTTGTAAGGCGGTGTAGAATACTAAAAACAGGAACTGGTTTTGCCAGGAACTTAGCAGTTGAAGCCACCAGGGTTGAGAGCTTCAGATCTTTTTGCAAGATATTCCAAGAAACAGGAGTGGAGTAGGAGAAGGCCCTTTTGCCTAGTTCAGTTCGCACTGAGGGAACACTGCAGGTAATAATGTCCTGAGAGCGCACGCTGTAGCTGCACTCACACAGAGACATGTAGTAGATGTATGAAGGTAACAGACCAAGAAGTGCTTTAAAGATGAAAATGTACTAGTGAGAGAGTTTGAGTGAAGTTAATGATGACCAGTTAACCAGTGAATACAGGGTGCAATGGTGGGTACGGTAGTTACAACCAGTTATGAATCTTAGTGCACCACGATAGACAGTGTTCAACATCTGCAGGGTGCTTGTAGGGGTGTTCATGTAAATAATGTCACTGTAGTCAAAGGAGGGAAGGAAAGCCGCAGTTACAAGGTGTTTCCTAGAATTCAGAGTTAGACGGGATCTATTTCTGAAAAAGAAACCCAATTTAACTTGCAGTTTTTTTACCAAGTTTTCAACATGGGGCTTAAAAGACAGCTGCGAATCGACCAAGATACCCAAATATTTGTAGGAATCGACAAACTCAATAGGAACACCATTCGAGGATAAAATCGAAGGAAGAGCTGCTGGGATCGACTTCCTGTTTGAAAACAATGTCCCTTTGGTTTTGTCGGCGTTTAGGACAAGTTTTAGATTGAACAAATCAGACTGGATGATGTCAAAGGCGGATTGCAAAAGCTGGAAAACCTTAGCAACTGTTTTAGCTCAACAATAAACAGCTGTGTCATCAGCATAGAAATGTAATGATGCATCAGTGATGGTTTGACCTACATTACCTATGTTGATAGTAAAGAGGGTGGGACCTAAGACTGAGCCTTGAGGTACACCGTTCTTAACCGTTACATAACTGGGAGGAAGTACCATTATGTTGAACACATTTCATTTGGTTTTTTTATCTTAAGATGTAGACAAATATAAAGGCCTTCCTCAGTGTGATTATTTTGCTGAACAAAAAAATAAAATAAATAAAAGCTAATATTTTGTCATTTGGACAAAATTGAATGTATTTATCCCTATCAACGCTTTAAACTAACTCCAAAACAAGTAAAATTCCACTTGAATAATAACATGACATTTATGTAACTTTTTTCACTTTGACACAAGGCTTTACACATTTGGTTTCACCCAAAACGAGGTGGGGCCATTTGAAGAAAGCAGTAACTGCATGAAATAGATGGTCTGTGCTCCCTCAATTGACTCGAGTACCAGAGAGCTTCAGCTAAAAAGTAGCAAAAACAGGATTTAAAAATAAAAAATGTAGACGTGTGAATGTAGAAGACTACTGTTATTCTTAGTTGGACATCAGTAGTTTAACAATTTTTGGTTTCACCCTAAAAGGGGCGGGGCTATTTGAAAGTCAAGGAAGTGACAGCAGGAGATAAGTGGCTTAAAGAAACACACACTCTAAACCTTCTCATCAGCAAGTAACAACCAGCCATATCTAAAAGTAACAGACACAGTTTGCTCCATGAATAAATAAATAAATACATTTTCCAGCTTCATAAAATGGCCGATCAAGCAATCTTCATTTTTAGCAGTTTTTTTTCTGTGAAATCAAATCAAAAAGGATCAATCAAACATAAGAAATTATAAAACAACCTCAGAGACAACATACTAAAACACTCCTTAAGGTAAACCATGATTATTACACATTGATGAGCTGTAAAATAAAAATCAAAACGACCTGATGTTTTGAATTTGAACTAAAACATATTTTCGGCACCTAATTAGGAAAAGTGGACATCCAGCCTTGTTCGGATAAATTTTGCTTTATTTTTTGTTGGCTTGTGGTTTGTGTCAGAGTCATTGCCATCATGATCAGCGAGCTTCAATCAGATGGATTAACTTAAAAAAAAAAAGAACTGTGGAATGAAACAGTCCTTGCTGTTAGTAAAGCTAAAAACCAGATTGATCTTTGAGTTTTTAAACCTGTCCACTTTGTGTGATTTTAGGGTAAAATCTCAGAGTTTCAGTTGGTGGGAGACCCTCAGGGGTTTCAAAGTTTCTGTGACTACGAGGCTTACCCCAGTACGGTGAGTATTCTATATTTAACGTTCCTCAGCGCTTCAAAATTTTAAATGTTGGGATGAAGCAGAATAAAAATTGTATTTATTTAATTGCAACATCTGCGCAAATGTTAGATCCAAATGTTTGAGACTTGGTGTGTTTAGTGTAAAAAGTTTTTTTTGCACAGCACTTGTTTTTGTTTATTTATTGATTTATTTGCCAATTGTTTGTCCCCAGATCGTTCCCCAGCCCAGTGCGGTCCCAAAGCCACTCGTGATTCCTTCAAAGGGTAAGAAAGAACAAGTAAAGTACAGCCAGGGTGTTAAATGCTGTCACGGCAGAATAGAAAAGTAAAAATGCATCTTTTAAAATTAAATACAGCAGCTTCTGCAAAACAAACAAAACAAACAAACAAAAAAAATCCTTATGAATTTGTTTGTCTGGACCTGAAGTGAGACCTCTTTAGTTCCTCCTGGTGGACAGTAAGAGAAGTTGATCTGTTGCTGTCAGAAGTAGCTTGTTTAGATGTAAACTATTTAAAAATAATAAAGACCTACAGAACCCCCTACTGAGAGTTACTGCAGCTAAAAGAGGTTAAACATGCTGCTAGTGATGGACGTACTTTTTAACACGTCTGTTCCATTTTAGATCTCTTTTTAAATAAATAATGACATGGTGGATTGAGTTGCGTGTTTATCCGGGATCAAGCTAGTATCATTTTATAACCTGGTAAAGACTAGATTATTTTTATGTTCTGATATGTAAAACCTCATAACTTAAAGAATGGGGTCTTTTTTTTTGTTTTAGTCTAAGACTTACTGCACTTAGTTACTAAATACTAAAAGTAGTACAACAGTCAACAATGCTAAAAGTAGCTAAAGATTAACTAAAAAATACAAGTAGCAAAACGGTACTTAAAAGCTAAATTTAGCTAAATAGTAACTAAAAACAAAAAGTAAAAAACTGGTAGCTAAAAGCTAAAAGTAGCAAAAATTAGCCGAAAGGTAAAAGTGGCATAAAGTAGGCAGAAGCTACAAGTAGCAAAAAGCTTGCTAAAATTTAAGTAGCATAACGATAGCTAAAAAACTCAAAGTAGCTAAATGATACCTAAAAGCTAAAATTAGCATAGAGTGAGCTAAAAGGTTAAAAACAGGAGCAAAATACTAATAGTAGCGTAGTCATAATTTTGACGAGCAGCATGGTGGCAGAGTTGGTAGAGCTGCCGCCACTCAGCAAGAAGGTTGCTGGAATGAATCCCGGTCCAGGGGCCTTTCTGGGCGGAGTTTGCATGTTCTCTCCATGCATGCATGGGCTTTCTCCGGGTACTCCGGTTTCCTTCCACAGACCAAAAACATGCTTGTTAGGCTGATTGGGAACTCTAAATTGTCCCTAGGTGTGAGTGAGAGAGTGAATGGTTGTTTGTCTCATTTGTCTCCATGTGTCCCTGTGATGGACTGGAGACCTGTCCAGGATGTCCCCCACCTCTCACACAGTGATAGCTGTACATGGGCACCAGTGACCCCTGCGACCCAAAACAGAAGAAGTGGGAAAAGATAATGGATGGATGGATTTTTAAATAAAAAGCCCCCCTGGTGGACACAGCCCTAATTTCACATAGCTGCAAAACCTTTGAAGATGTTGGAATAATAATAATAATAATAATAATGTCATCACAATGTCAGCACTGTATGTTTCCATACAATCGCGAAATTAGTCTCTGCATTTAACCCATCCACCACCAGGTGGTGCAGTGGGCAGCTATTGAAAGCGCCCGGGGGACATTTTGGGGATTAGACGAGTCCCAATCTGATAATGTCCTAAATGGCACCATATTGTGTAACTAAATTTGTGCCAAATGTCATACTTTTTGTTGTTTCAGATCAGAGCTGGGGTTGGTGTAGCAGCAAAAGATGAAGTTTAAGATTTTAACCAAAATGTTTTTTGTCTTTCCTAAGTAAAACTACCATTTAACAGTTTTGTTGCTACAAAGAAGCAGAATATGTTTGGTTTGGGTCACCTAATCAATGTAAAAACAGTGTAAATATTTTTGTTTAGTCAACATATCTTGCATAAAGATTAAACATCAGAAAATAGAGTGCAACGTAAAACACATGGACTGGTGATTTGTACGCCAATCATACGCCTGTTGACCCTCAATATGATCAATCATGCTCAGAAAATGGCTAAATGATTTTAGTCCAACATATTGAAATGATGCACAAAAACGAGTCCAAGAGTAAAATAAATAATGAAATGAATAATTTAAATGATAATAAAACGTAGATTTAATTTTTTCTGAAAAACTATTTGATCCCCTTGATGAGGGAGAAGCACACTGTCGGTGTTTGTTGCTGTTTATACCAGTGCCGCAGTTCTGCTGAGGTTGTGTTTTTAGAGTTTGCAAAATATCTCATGAATCTGATCTCTGAGCAGTTTCAGGCGCTGACTTCTGAAGCATCATTTTCTGAAGTTAAAAGGTTTTATACAGGAGAAGATGAAGACAAAATACATTGAATACCACAGTTAGAACTGTCAATAAAGGGAATAATTGCATAAATTATAATTATAGTAAAGGTTTTGTTTACGTTCAAACTGTGCTGGTTGGTTAGTTTTCTGCTGTTCAGTGAGATTTCTAAATAATTTTTTGTCCTTCTGACTCCACAGGTGAGAAGGGTGACAGGGGTGAGACGGGTGAGAAGGGTGATCGTGGCCCTGCAGGGCCGAAGGGGGATTCCGGTACCAGCTTGGTGTCTAGTTCCTCTTCACAAGGTGCAGACCAAGGACTAAAAGTAAGAAATCTTTTATTTCACTGTGAACATGAAGAAGTCAGTTACATTAAACTGATGCAATAATCTGATTTTTCCTTTTTTTTTTCTTATCAGGGAGAAAAGGGCACAAAGGTATGTGAACTACAACCACAATTTGTAGAAATGTTTGTTATTCATTTGATTAAAAATCAGCAAAAACATGAGAGAGAAACCCTTTCCCTTATCGATATGTTAGTCAATGTCAATATTATTTATATAGCACATTTAGAAACGGTACTGAAAACGACTGAACTTCGGATTTGTTGGATTTGTTTACTTAGAGCATGAACTTTGATGTTAAAAAGTGCTTTGCAAACAAAAGATCAGCAATAAAATAAATGAAAGATCAAACCTTAAAAACACAAGTACAGTAGTCTCGTTTATTGTGAGGGATTCATACCCTGAAGCCACGCGATAAGCGAAAAACCGCAAAGTAGGAATATTAGTACAAGTTCAAGTACAGTAAATTTCATATTAAGGCTTTAGAAACCCTTCCCACACTCTTGGAATGTTCTAAACTCTTAAACCTACGTCATTTTAACAACATACGTTACTAAATTTTACTTACCAGCTCTGCAGAACAGCAACAGCTCTGGTTCCGGTCCAACTTTCTTCTATTCCGGCTTGATTCGTTTCTGCAGACCTATCCTGCAGCAATGAAGCCCACACATCAGTCCTCTAAACTCTTAAACCTACTAATTTTAACAACATACTTGTACTTATATGTACAGGAGCTACAAAATTTTACTTACCAGGCTCTGCAGTACAGGAGCGGCTCAGTTCCGGTTCGACCCGTTGGATGAAAAAAGTCCCGGTACAGCATGACTGAAGCCCACCGCTCCATCCAGCTTGATGTGCGCATGCCGTTGCCCAGGATTTAGTCCACCACCTCTGGCCCTGTCCAGACCAGCACAGCGCGACCAGAACCTGACTGAACCCTGCAGCCGTCTGTCGCCTGCAGCTCCCATGATCCGGGTCACAATGATTCTGGACCAACTGCAGCCCAGCTGCTCAGCAGTGAAGATACCACTTGAAGCTTCAGAATTATTTGATACTTTCCTGCCAGTCCCGTGAGCTTATCCTTACAGAGCTTCTGACTTTGTTGCAAAACTTTCCCTCCATTTGCAGCAAGCAGAGGTTGAAAAGAGCAGTGTTGACTTCTGGGAAGTGAGCTGATGGCTTCTGGGTAACGTAGTTCTTTAGACTGGCAAAACAGTGAAGGCTTAATGAAAGAAAACTACAAAATGGCGGCACTTTTATTATAATTTTTTTAAATATTATGTACATGTACAGTACTTAAAGAAACACCTCAATAGAGCAAGTCCGCGAAAAACTAACCACAAAGTAGTGAGGGGCTACTGTATAATTAAACAGGCCAAGAACAAACTAAAACAAGAAAATAACCTAAAAGGTTCAGATGGAAACTCAAACCAATATAGAGTTAAAAGCCAGAATGAAAAAGTGAGTTTTTAATCAGGATGTAAAGAACTGTATGGACTCTGCTGAACTAATATCAATGGGCAGACTCTTCCAGAGTCTGGGGCTGCCACAGCCAAAGCCCGACGTCCACTGTGTTTTACTTTTAGCTGTGCTAAAAGCATCTGACTGGAGGATCTCTGTGTTCTGTTTGTAATATAAAAATGCAAAAGATCCATTAAGTAACTGGGTGCCAACTTAACAGGCTCCTCTCTTGTGGAACCGACTTCCAGTTTCTGTCCATGAGGCTGACACATTGTCCAGTCTTAAGACTGGGATTAAGACTTTCCTTTTTGATAAATCCTATAGTTAGGGTTGGCTTGTCATGCTGCCTTAAGCTAAGACTACTGGAGAACAAATTGACCTAATTTCCTTAAACGAATTGTTAAAATTTAATAGTTTTCACTGATATTATTTCTATCTTAACATGTGATTCTTGACGTGCCATTGTGTAGCTGTTCCTCTCAAACCCAACCGGTCGAAGCAGATGGCCGCTTGTCCTGAGTCTGGTTCTGCTACAGGTTTCTTCCTCATGAGGGAGTTTTTCTTTTCCGCTGTCACCTTCATGCTTGCTCAAGATGAGAGTCTGTGATGGAGTTAAACTCAAAGCAGTCTGCTCCTCAGATACATAATGTTAAATTATTATTTATATACGAGTGTTTCTGTTCAGTGCCCTGAGATGACTTCTGTTGTGACTTGGCGCTATATAAATGAACTGAATTCAATTGAATTGAATAGCATCTAAAAAAGCAGAAAGAAGCTTAAATTACCAGAACGAAGTGGAGAGAGCACATTTTTTGCTGAATTAGGATTTAAAAAGTTGAAACGAGTGCAAAAAATGTGAAAATAGCTGAAAAAGCTCAGATGATCATAAAAACAGATAAATAGTAGCTGAAATAGGAGGGTGATGGCATAGAGGTTAGAGAAGGTGGACTTGTGATCAGAAGATCGCCAGTTCAATTCCCTGTACTGACATCATCAAAAATGTGGGTGGGATAGGTGAAGCACCCACACCTGCCTCCACTCTCAATTGCCCCTCTCTGGGCTCTTGAGCAAGGCTTACTGCTCTACACAGAGGGCTGTGATAGCTCCGTGGTCTGTGGTTACATCAGGAAGGGCATTCGCCGTAAAATGAATTGCCAAATATTCGTTCGACTTAGTTCACTGTGGCGACCCCTGAAGAAGGGAGCAGCCGAAAGATTAAAAAAAGTAGCTGAAATAGTTGAAACTAGCAGAAATAAGCTGAAAAGAGCGTAACAAGCTAAAATTAGTAGAAATAAGTTAAAATAGGAACAAAAATATTGTAGTTAGCAGAATAAAGCATAACAAAACGGCTGAAAAAAAACAGCTGCAATTAGCCAAAAGTAGCTGAATATTTTTTTTAATTTGCACAAGGAAGCTGAAAGAAGCTGAAGTAGAACAAAATGTGAAAGGAGCAGTAAAAGGTTGTAAACAGATCTAAAGATTTGAAGGATGTAAAATGAGCTCAATTCATTTTCTATGAGAAAAAAATGGCAGAAAAAGCTAAACAGGATCACAGTAGTGAATGCTTAATAAGCATTCACACTATTAGAAGTTCTTAATTTAAAAACTATTTCCTTTAAGAATGAAAAAGACGGGCTCAAACTGCTGAAAAACAGTGGAGCATTTTGGAGGGTCAGACTGATTTCTAACAGGCTGCAAATAAAATATCTAATAAATATGTTCAAGTATAGATGCATTTTAATTACTGCACAACGCAAATCTCTTCTATTTTGATGAAAACATTTTTTTATTTAAGGTTCTGCTTTTAGTAACGGTAATTGTTTTACTTAAGATTAGTTGTCATAAATATACAGAGAAAGTTTTTAATAAATAAATTCAGATTGGGGCTAAAAGTCTCATAAAATACTACCGTATTTTTCTGACTTTAAGGCGCACTTAAAATCCTTTCATTTTTCTCAAAAATCGACAGTGAGCCTTATAATCCAGTGCACCTTATGTATTAATTCTGTTTGTGCTTACTGATCTCGAACCGATTTTATGTGGTATATGGCGCTCAAAAATCTGTCAAAATGAACTTGTTTCACTTAATGCGCCTTATAGTACGAAATATACGGTAATTGAATGTAGCCGCGACGCCACCAGGTGGTGGTATTCTCCCTTGTTTTCCTGTTTGAATCTGCTCATATTAACAGCGCTGCTCTTGTTTTGGAAGGAAACAGCTTGTATGGAGATAAATCAGTCTCAAAACTAGTCACACAAGCGTTCAACAAGATTTGTATGTGTACAATAAAATCCACAATCGTACTACAAGATTAACAATTTCATAAACAGTTTTTCAAATGTACACATTCAACTTGGACAAGTAGGAATATTACCGGAATACTGTATTTTCCACCATACATGCCGCACTGCCCTATAAGTCACATCAGTCCAAATATGTCTAATAAAGTGGAAAAATCCATATATACGTTGCTTCGCCGTATATGTCGCATCTATTATGTATCACTGCTGACGACCTGGAAATGTGGGCCGGTGTTGTTCCAAATATTGATTGGCTGCCAAATGGCGGCCGTGGGAGTGTCCACGGGAGGACTTTAACAAGAATTTAACAAGATTAATACTTAAAAAAAATTATTTGTTTGCTCTAAATTAGGGATGCACAATATTATCGGCATGGTATCGGTATCGGCCGATATTAACATTAAAGTTCAATATCAGACATCGGCCATTCTGTCAAAATAACTCACCAATATAAAAGACTGTTTTGTATGACAACCCAGTGACAAGGATGCCTGCAGTGGCAGCACAATGTAATGATGTTGCGCGCACCTTACCTGATTTCACGGCTTAGAGAAAAATTTAAAATGTAGATGTGTGGAAGGTTTTTTCATTGAAGATGTCAGATTCCGAAGATTTTTGGGCTACGGTGAACCTCGCTACATTGTCCCCAGTCTGAGATATTTGTCCGACGTAACCTTACCCGAGTTACAAGCCGTCATTTCTGACGTCGTTGAGAAGCTAATAGCCGATAACACATGGGTGACTTTGACCACAGACATTTGGACGTCGTGTTAGCACCGTTAGCATGATTAGTCTTACGGCACATTGGATAGACACAAACTTTGAACTTAAAAAGGCTGTTGTTCATACTCAAGAGTGCAGAGGATCCCACACTGTAGCTAGGAACCTGAAACAAGCCGCCACAAGTGAGGCAGCATCACAGGTGACTAATGCTAATAAATAACATTTAACACTTTTCATTTAATGCAAGTGTTATGCATATCATATGGCTGTTACTGAATATACATCACCAGCTCTTAAAGCTGTTGCACGTTTTTTGTAGCAAATAATCCTAAATAAGAGGGCTATGTTCTGACAAAGGAAAGTATATAAAATATCAGTATCAGTTATCAGCCAAATAAGTTTTAACATATCGGCATATCGGATATCGGCCAAAAATCCAATATTGTGCATCCCTACTCTAAATTATAGTAAAGGTGTGTCTCAGTCTACCTTTTGCTTAATAAATGCACTTTGATGGTCAAATCAGCTGCATTTCAAAAGCAGATACGTGGAAGTAGGTGCATGCAGAGGGACGAGTCGCTGTGCGTTTCTTCGAAATTTAACAAGATAAACACCTAAAAATAATTATTTGTTTGCTCAACTTTATAGTAAAGGTATGTTTCAGTCTAAAGTTTGCTTAATAAAAGGACTTTAACAATCAAATAAGCTGTATTTCGAAGGTACTCGCTGCCTCGGTGCTCCAGGAGTGCACAGACAGTGAGGAAATCATGATGGAGGAACGCTGCACATTTCTTTGAAATTTAACAAGATAAGCACCTAAAATAATTATTTGCTTGACATTATAGTAAAGGTGTGTCTCAGTTTAACTTTTACTTAATAAATGCACTGCAATGGTCAAATCAGCTTCATCTCGCCAGTGCGGTGCAGCGAAATGAAGCTGATTTGACGGTTGCTCCAAACGAGCTGGACGAAGGTGGCAGGCCATGGCAAGCAGACTGTGTCATTAATAGACAATTTTTACCTATTACATGACGCAACGGCAGGACATACTACTCGATTGCCATCTAGCGGCTGAAAATGTTAGTGTTCAATATTTTCAGTCAGAATGAATGTAAACGGTCATATCTCAGCCAAAAATTGGTTTATAAATATGGGGAAAAAATCTATAAATACATCGCTTCGCCATATAAGTCACAGGCATGTTAATTTATTTAAAAAAACGCGACTTATACAGCAAAAAATATGGTACTCCTTGGATAGAGTTCCTGGAGCTTGTTGTACGCATACAAATCTTGTCGTATGCCTGTGGGACTACTTTTGAGACTGATTTATCTTCATAGTTTTTGGATTTGTTGTAAAAATTGTCATCAGTTTATGTAAAATTTTGTAAACACTTGTAATAAAACATACCAAAAACTGTTAAAATCCTCAAATTCTTAACTTTTTAACCCATTTTCTACCAGTTTTCACAGTTTGACGAATTGATCCTCTTGACAAAAATCAAATTTGAACAGCATAGCAGTTAAAATTTATTTAACGTCTTTTTCCCCCTCCTCCTGACCAGGGTGATAATGGCTTTGGATATCCCGGCAAAAAAGGTGAACATGGTGCTCAAGGGCCACCTGGGCCATCCGGTCTTCCAGGGCCTGCAGCTGAGGTGCTCCAACTTGCAGATGGCTCTAATGTGCACAAAGTGGCTGGACCCCCCGGTCTCCCGGGACCACCGGGGTTGGATGGGATTGCAGGGGATGATGGAGAGCCTGTAAGTACAGAGAGGTTGGGAAAGTTCAACCTTTAAAATTTTAAAGAGTTTAGTGACTGAGGGATCGTTCTTTTTTAGGGGGATCCAGGAGAGGATGGAAAAACTGTGAGTTTGACTGTTTTTAAACATTAATGTCTTTACTGGATGGACTAACTTATTTTGCTCTGGTTTTAAGGGTCCTGCTGGGCCTCAGGGTATTCCAGGAAGTCCAGGAACTCCAGGTGCCAAAGGCCAAAAGGTGCGGGACATAAAGACTTTATTAAATTCATACACAAGTTTCGATTTAGTAGGATAACTTGGGGTTTCTGAATCATTCCAGGGTGAGGCTGGAGAGGGTTCCCCTGGTCCCAGAGGCCCCCCAGGTCTACCAGGACCTCCTGGACCTGGCACGGGGGATCGTTCCGTAAGTACACACAAAGGGGAAACTTTATTTATTACAGAATTTTTAAAAAACAAACTTTTCTTTTTTTTTTATATATAGACATTTGTTGACATGGAGGGCTCAGGATTTCCAGATCTGGATGTAATCCGGGTACGTTATTTACTGTAAACCATTGTTTTAAGTATTATTCAGGTTAATATTTGTGAGATTTTCTGGTCAGGGTCAACACTGTCTCCCAGGGCTCCTAGGCCCTCCTGGCCCTCCTGGTCCTCCTGGGATTCCTGGTACTTCAGTGGCACTAGGACCTGATGGTCCAATAGCATTTGGACCTTCTGGTCCACCTGAAAAAGATGGGGTGCCTGGTTTTCCAGTGAGTATTGCATTTTATATTTAATAAAATGATTTATCAGTTAATAAAAGATTAGTTTGATGAATTATTCAAAAATAGTATTCACTTTTATTTAAACCATTTAATCTCAATTTTTTGTGAAGCAAATCATAAACAAACATTTCATAAAGACAAAATGCTACTTACGTTGGAGGCATGATACTGCTGAGTTGTGAAACCAAGTTGACATTTTGTATCTCCTGTTTAGGGTTTTCCTGGTCCCCCTGGTCCTCCTGGTCCACCTGGGCCCAGAGGGGAAAAGGTAAAAACCGAGTCTAACTAACATCTGTACTCAAACTTCAGTGAGTCATGGTAGTGCTTTGTCGCTCAAAGTTTAAATTGGACAGAAAGGGGAACAACAAGGAACTGAATTAGGGTCACTTAAGTTTTATTACAAACCGGATTCCAAAAAAGTTGGGACACTAAACAAATTGTGAATAAAAACTGAATGCAATGATGTGGAGGTGCCAACATCTAATATTTTATTCAGAATAGAACACAAATCACAGATCAAAAGTTTAAACTGAGAGAATGTATCATTTTAAGGGAAAAATCTGTTGTTTCCAAATTTCATGGCGTCAACAAATCCCAAAAAAGTTGGGACAAGTCCATTTTTACCACTGTGTGGCATCCCCCCTTCTTTCAACACTCAACAGACGTCTGGGGACAGAGGAGATGAGTTTCTCAAGTTTAGAAATAGGAATGCTCTCCCATTCATGTCTAATACAGGCCTCTAACTGTTCAATCGTCTTGGGCCTTCTTTGTCGCACCTTCCTCTTTTTGATGTGCCAAATGTTCTCTATAGGTGAAAGATCTGGACTGCAGGCTGGCCATTTCAGTACCCGGATCCTTCTCCTACGTAGCCATGATGTTGTGATTGCTGCAGAATGTGGTCCAGCATTATTGTGTTGAAAAATGCAGGGTCTTCCCTGAAAGAGATGACGTCTAGATGGGAGCATATGTTGTTCTAGAACCTGAACATAGTTCTCTGCATTAATGGTGCCTTTCCAGACATGCAAGCTGCCCATGCCACAACCGCTCATGCAACCCCATACCAACAGTGATGCAGGCTTCTGAACGGAGCCTTGATAACAACTTGGGCTATCCTTGTCCTCTCTGGTCCGGATGACATGGCGTCCCAGTGTTCCATAAAAAACTTCAAATCGTGACTCATCTGACCACAGAACAGTCTTCCATTTTGTCACACTCCATTTTAAATGACCCCTGGCCCAGTGCAAACATCTGAGCTTGTGGAGCTTGCTTAGAAATGGCTTCCTCTTTGCACTGTAGAGTTTCAGCTGGCAACGGCGGATGGCACGGTGGATTGTGTTCACTGACAATGCTTTCTGGAAGTATTCCTGAGCCCATTCTGTTATTTCCTTGACAGTGGCATTCCTGTTTGAGGTGCAGTGATGTTTAAGGGCCTGGAGATCACGAGCATCCAGTAGAGTTTTACGGCCTTGACCCTTACGCACAGCGACTGTTCCAGATTCTCTGAATCTTTTGATGATGTTATGCACGGTTGATGATGATAACTTAAAAGTCTTTGCTATTTTATGCTGGGTAACACCATTCTGGTATTGCTGCACTATGTTTCTGCGCAACAATGGTGGAATTGGTGATCCTCTTACCATCTTGGCTAGAACCTTTTTTTGACCACTGGATGGCAGTATAAGACTGTTTGAACAGAAGGATGGATAGTGAGGGAGCGAGCAACTTGTCTCTAAGAAAAATGGGAGAGAGGCCCCTTGACGTGATATGGGCTGTCTCTTGTTCTTGTTTTTTGGTTCTCAAAATGGCAGACGCTCGGTGTGGTTTGAGCTCATTATCATAGTATTTTTAACACAAAGCTTTTGATGGAAATCAGCAAACAAGTTCTCAGCTTCATTTTGAAGAGAAAAACAACTTTTTTCACGAAGGCGCGGGTTTCAACCGTGAATTCTGGAGCTTTGACAAGACGGAGGTTTTTTCCTGAGGTCGGCCTGTTAGCTTAGCTCGTAGCTTAGCTTCTTAGCTTAGCTGCTTTTAACGATCCAAAAACGTGATTTTGGATGGTTAAAATTGATTTTAAATAGAAAGGGAGGGGTCAGTGAAGAGCACCGGAGTTTAGCCTTTTGTCATCCAGTGTCCAGTAGAAAGAGAGAGACACAAAGAAACGATTAAGTTGATAAATGAAAATGAGGTCAATAATCTTCATTTATCATGCGATTAATTGATTCATTGTTTATCACGACAGACCTACCTCTTATATTATGTTTAGCCATAAACTGGCATCCAATTTGCTCTAAATACAACCCCAGGAGTGTGAAGCCTCGGCCTCCAACTGCAAAGTGGTGGTCAGCTGTTGTCCTCTGCTTGAATCGTGGTCAGAACTTCCAACTGCATCTCTGTCCGCTAGCATTAGGCTCCGGACAGTGGTTAGGGCTGAAACACAGGAACTGGAATCTCCTCCAGCTACACATCAATTCAGCGTGTTGCTGTTTAAGCGGTCTTCCTTTGTCTACAGACAATTTGATTTCTGGAAAAAAAAAATCAACTCCGGCTTCATAGACCTGCGTTTTGGTGGTCACCTTTAGAGTGATACTGCAGCAGAATAGACCTTTAGTAGTGTTATCTCTCCATACATGGTAGCACATCATCCACCACAACAAAGTCAACCAATCTCTGCAAATTTGCTCAGACTTTCAATTTTGATCAATCACTTTAGCCCCCTGCCCCATTTCACTTCCTGAAATTGGAGTTTTGTGAGATGAAAACATGTTAGGTGCCCCAAAGATCACATTTGCCATCAAGTATTCCCACTAAAATCTGTGGAAGTCAATTTGCTAAATGGTGGAAACGGGGGAGAACTGATGACAGCATCAAGCATGACAACAGTTAAATATTTGACGTTCCAACAAAACAGGAAGGGATGACTCGCACAAACATCTGATCTGAGTTGAATAAAAATATTTAATTAAACAGGAAGTTCCTTTAAATCTACAAGAAGTGATTGGGCTCAGTTTTATCTCATAACACATCATCACTAACTTGTTGAGGCTTCACTTACTGGCTACAAGCACGTCCCAAACAAACAAGCAAACATTTTAACTTTAACAAGCTCCCATGTTGATTAAACTACATACTATCTAAATAAAATAAGTCCTTTTTAAAAAGAAATCTGTTTTGTTTCATTCTCATCGTTTTCCAGGGTGATGGCGGCGATCTTGGTCTTCCTGGTCCAGCTGGAGAAAAGGTGAGTCAAGGCTTCGGTACTTTAGAATATAATTTCAGTGAAGATTTCTTCGCTCAGCAGACATTAAAATCATACGTTTTTGTGACAAATTCAAAAATGTTTTTTTGTTGCTTTCTTTTAGCAAGAGGCAGTGGATGCCAACCCTTTCAGTTACCTGTTCTCTTTCTTTGCTCCGTCCTCTACGGTGTGTAATGGGGCTGCAGGTATTGGGGCTTGGTCTCTTCCGTGATGATTTTCTTTCTCCCATCCAAGTTTAACAGTTAATTTTTTTCCCCGTTTATAATGCATTTTAACCAAAGCTCAACATCTTTCTAGTAGCTGCTTGCTTTCACGTCTGAGTGTTGGGTTGTTTTTACTCTTCTAATTCTGAATATATCACTTAATTCTGCCAACTTTTCCACATTTAAAAAGGCCCTTTTGCTTTGTCACTTAATTTTCCCCTTAATAGTCTCTATTGGTTGTAAATATTGCAATCTAACATGTGAATTGTTAAAAAAAAAACACCTTCCTAATTCAGGGCACTCAGGGCGACCGAGGAAAGACGGGTACGGCAGGACAGACTGGTCTGGCAGGGCTCCCAGGTCCCATGGGACCAGTTGGACCTCCAGGGCCCCCTGGACCACCGGGTCCACCATACATCATTGCTAATGTGAGTATAGTTTTTATTTTATTTTATATGCAGTAGTCCCTCACTTATTGCTGTGGCTGAGTGGTTAGAGCAGTCGTCCTCCAATGCAAGAGTTGGGGGTTCAATTCCACCAGCAGTCACATGCCAAAGTGTCTCTGGGCAAGACACTGAACCCTTCATTGCCTCTGATGTGTGTCCCATCAGTGTATGAATGCGATAAAGCTCTGATTATTCTTTGTATAGATCTAGTAGAGTGCTGTATGAATGGGTAAATGAGGGCACAGATTGTAGTGTAAAGCACTTTAAATATCTTCATGAGATGGAAAGGCATTATATAAGTACAATCCATTTAACATTTATCACGGGGGGTTACATTCCAGACACCCCCACGATAGGTGATGTAGGGCCGTTATATTTATTTTAGTATTTATATACATATAGCCATATATATCATCCTTGATATAGCAAGTGTTGCACCAGCTAAGTGCTCAAGGCAGCAGAGTCAGACATCGGGGGCGTATCCGCAGGACTGACGTGTCGCCAGCATGGTGGCCTCTACCCTCCTTCCCCCGCTGAAGAGGGTCTCCTCTGCTGGTCCCAAGGAGGTGAACCCGAGGACACGGGCAGAGCAGAGGAAGGTCTCCACCGGCGGCCACGCGCCGCAGGCTCGACGAGGAATGCGACCCTCAGACGCACGGCTGGAGATGTGCGGACAAGGAGGGAAGGAGGGTGGGGAGGGCCATACCGACGCCGGAGGTACAGCCCCCGGACGGGGATCGGGCTGCCTGGTCCTTAGCATTGATCCCATAATGGCGGCCAACAGTCGCGTAGGTTCTCCCTTTCTTCAACAAGTCAAGAAGCGCCACCTTCTCTTTTATGGTAAGCATCTTTCTCTGGTGCTTGGGTTCGCTGTCTGAAACCTTAGAAGGCGCAGAAGGTTTAGGTGGCATCGTAGGGCTTGAAATAAATTTCACAATAGAGTGCAACGAAAGAGAGCAGACAGACTGATGCTACGGTTACTGAGCCAATCAGCATCTGGGATACAGAGTACAGTGTTTTGGTTGGTCGCCTTCCATCAATCAGCCAATCATGTGTCATGTACAATCTTGCGTTGAAAACCTGCGAAACAGTGAGTCCGCGAAAGTCAAATCGTGAAGTATCAAGGAACTACCGTATTTTTTTTTTGTATACAGACTTTTTATAGTTTTTCATCAGAATCAGAATACGCTTTATTATCGTTGTACCGAAATACGAGAATATGTCCGTACAGTCATCCGAAAGATGGGCGGAGTGCACGTAGCTGCTGCTCTTTAAGTGTGCGGCCTCTTATCCTTTTCAGAATACTTTTAGATAGAAAAGGGGAAAAAGCCATGAAGGTGGATATTGGTATTACAAAAAAAGATCTCTTCACATCTTGTACTGTCAGGACACAATTTAAGACATCAAAAAACTCTACCAGCAAGCACATTTATGAACACATTACATATGCATTTGATGTCAAGTCAATGAGATTTGTCCATGCACTTTCAGATAGGCCACAGTTCTGTTGATGTTGTTTCAGCCAGTAATTCTGATAAGCCTGGACAGAAGTTTTGGGGGGGGGGGGGGGTGGGCAAAGCTTTTTCCCTAGGTACCCATGTCCCAGGAGAAATTTGATAGTCGGCTCTTATCCGAGGCCAAACGGGGGAGTCAGATTCAGATAAGCCACAATTGTTGAATTTCTACAGACAGACATTTTTTTTCTTGTCAGGCTTGAGTCCTGCTGGAACTTCCTCTGTCCAAAAATGTCTAGATTTATGTTTCTGAAAGGTATAAATATACCTAAATACTGCAATGTTGGGTCAGTTTTCACTTTAGCACAGATACTTTCTGATTTCCGAGCCCCTTGGATTAACACGGGATATTTATTCTGATATTTATGATCTGAGGCTATTCTGGCAAAAACTAGAGACCCACATAGCACCTAGCAAGATGGCTGCACAAAATCTATCCTAATTATCAAAGGCTATACAGTGGTTTCCCATTGTTGGGTACCTCTACCTTGGAAAATGTTCAAATAAATCAAACCAAAATTATTCTGAAATTAATACCCAAAATGAGTGGCTGCAAATTTCAGATCCCAGCTGTACATTTTTACTTTGATTCATTTCAGAATATTGGCAAGTTGTAAAAAAAAAAACAACCAACATTATGTAATCTTGTGTGTGTGACAAAAAATAAGAAGTATATTGGGTCGAGGTTAGAGATCTAAACTGAGTAGCAAAAGAAGATCAGCCCAATTCAAAATGTAATTTTAAGTCAAAGTGCCTCAATAAAAGTTTGATACAGGATCTATAAAGTTTTAAACTTTCAATTTAAAATACTGTTCTTTTATTGTGAAAGGAGTTTACCATGGTTCTGTTTTAGTGGTGTATACGTTTAAAGAGAATGTGGATTTTAACTTGAACGTCTCCATACAGAAAGACCAGAATGGGAATGAAGCGTTGAACGCCTTACCTGGACTCAGAGGCCCACCTGGACCACAGGTTAGAGGTGCTCTACCTCCTGCTCAGATTACTGGACTGGCTCTGTCTCACTCAGTCTGTCTTGTTTTCCAGGGTCCACCTGGTATTCCTGGTCTACCTGTAAGTTCTACAAAGACTCTTTATTATAACCTCATGTGTGGTACTTTTCTTTCACTCATAACCATGGCAGCAAAATGGGTTTTTGTGAATTTTGCAAGCTCAGAATCAAAGAATCGGGATCGTAAGACTCCGAAACATCTGTTTGTAGTGGAAAAACAAACGTTCAGAGAAGACTGGATCTTTTACCGGTGGCTGCTGCTTTGTTTTAGGTCCGTATCTCACTGGGCTGCGGCTGTTGGAGACAAATTCACGTGGCAGTTTCCAAAATGTTTTGAAGCGTTTGCGAGGGTTCTCAATTTCCTTGCATGAGCCGCAGGCTGTCGCATTTGTATCGCAGGAGTTTTGGACATGTTGGAAAAATTAGTGCAGCTAGTTTCCCCTCAGAACAGTCCAGTGGTGTAGTCTTCATTTTTGTAGTGGGTTAGTTTTACGTTGGACGTTGGACACCGTTGAAGCCACGGAGCGTGAATGTCCAGCGTTCAATGTAAAACTAACTTTACCATGGTCAGTCCGTATACTGTGCTTAGAAACCAAAGTACACTGGTTAGTACAATGTCATCATCAATTTATTTTGATTTTTAAGCATATTGAGCATTTCCAAATTTCTCTGATGCTTCCATTTGAATAAATGTATGACAAACTTTGTACAACTGTTGGCTTTGTATTAAAAACATAGGCTGTATAAAACAGTATCAAAGCAAAACTTGTTCAAGTATTAAGTAGTAAGTACAGAAGTATTAATTATACAATAACTCGCTGGATAAGTGAATGTAATAAAGAAGTGCTGCATACCAATAGATTTATTTATTTATTAACCTTTATTTAACCAGGCAAATCCCATTGAAATCACAGATCTCTTTTGCAAGGGAGGCCTGGGCCTGAAGGCAGACTAACATGTTTTTGGTCTGTGGGAGGAAACCAGAGTACCCAGAGAAAACCCACGCAAGCACGAGAAGAACATGCAAACTTCACACAGAAAGACTACATGTCCAACCGGGGATTGAACTGAGGACCTTCTTGCTGTGAGGCAACAGTGTTAACCACTGATCCATTGTGCTGCCAATTTTTGTTGTTACGGAAGCGTTTAACGTATCAATGACACATACCTAATGATATGTCATGTATCATTGGGCATTTTTAAGTGGGTATACTGACATTCTTAAGCTTTTCTAGTGAGTATACTCCGTATACTCGAGTATCACGTGGACCATACCACTGGAACAGTCAGAATCATAGCAGACATCTGAAATCTGTCTTGAATTCTTCTCAGTTTAGTTGTAGTAATTCTCGAGCATGAGCAAAAGCACCTAAGATTTTTAGATACTAGTTTTGTTTATTTACATACATACTAACAAAAAATAAACTACCCCAGTCTCTCAGCTTTGAGTTGGTTCAGTCCATCTCATGGTGATATGAAAACAGCCTCTTTTAAAGTTGTAAAAGGGCTGCATCATTTATCTGTCTATGAATTAAGCAGAACAGAGTAAGAACACAGATCTATCTAGGATTGCACAATGCCAACAGTTTTTTTCAAAGTGGTCCTTTTGTTGTGGATATTTCCTGCTCCTAATTGCCTCAACACAGAAGCAGGTGAAAAAAGAAAATGTCTTCAAAAATACAACAAAGTTCAGTCAGGTCATCTGGACGGTTTCTTTTTTTTCTTGCTGAGATGTTTTGTCCTTCATCCAAAGGACTTCATCAGTCCGATGAGCCGTAACAAACTCAGTCCCACAAGCAGTACACTCACATAGTGGGCCAACTAGTTTGTTGGTGATAAGATGGTTTCTGGGGCCCGCCCTCTCCCCTGTTGACTCCTATGAGGCAGCCATAGCCAAAGTGGTTCAAAACATCAAAGTTCAGCTGTGGCTGCCTCAGAGGAGTTGACGGGGGAGACGGCAAGCCACAGAAACCATCAGAGAGAGAACATATAAACTACAGACAACAATAATTCAACAAAAAGCAATTAAAATCAAATCAAATAAGTTATAAACACAGTCAAATCAAGATACTGTATAAAACGAGGTAAAATACTAAAAACAAGAACATATTTGCTTTGATGTTTCTATTGACATTATCAAATGTTTAAAATCCCTTAAAGAAATCAAAGTGGACAGCTTCAGTTCCTGTTGCAAGGTGTTCCAGGTTACAGGAGCAGAATAGGAAAATACCATTTTGCCAATTTCAGTCCGCTGTTGAGAGGACGCTGCAGGTAATGATGGCCAGAGAACGCACGCTGTAACTGCACTGACGACATGACATGTAGGAGGAGATACAAGAAAGTAGCCGACCAAGGAGGGATTTATAGATGAAAATGAACCAGTGTGAGAGCCTACGTTTAGCCAATGACCAACTGACCAAGGAGTACAGGGTGCAGTGATGGGTACGGTAGTTACAACCAGTTATGAACCTTAGTGCCCCATGGTAGACAGTATCCAACATCTGCAAGGAACTGGCAGGAGCATAAGGTTCCTATCACTTTAAATCCCTTTATGCTGAATTCAAGGGCATCAACTCAGAGCTCATACGTTGCAGATTATTGTTTTTGGATTGGCATGCATATTGCCTGATGTAAAAGTTTTATAAATGTCTATGTCTGGTTGATATTTAAATAAACAATGTCATTTTGCCAGGGTATGTACAAAAATACTTGTATAAATATACTTTGTGGGATTTGAACACCAATTTCTTGCATGAAAGTGGATTGTATTACCCGTTACATTAATTAAGCACTGCGTGGTTCCATTGCACATGCCCAGAGTTTGTCTACATGTGTCATTCAATGCAATTCCAAGTGAAAATGTGTGTATTTTCTTGCAATTTTGCGTCCAACTTGTCACCATCAGTCGCAGCCCAGTGAGATTCTACCTGCAGGTGATGAAACGGTCAATGATGGACCTTGTTCAATTCTTGGTTCTGTGTATTTCTTCTTGGTTTATGCTAATGCTTAACGTCTGTTAAACTGGTTCATTCAATCTTCTGCCTTTTTCCTGATAGTATTTTATTATTATTTAATGTCATAAGTTTGAGTTGTATTTCTCTACTCAAAACTTGACTAATTAAGATTTATTGGAGTGATTCAACTTTAGGTCAAAGATGCACCACAATAATATAATTTACCTAATTTTCTAGTCGAAACATTTGTGTTAAATGCTCTTTAATTGGTGCTGTGTGAAAGTAAAGCATGTTCAAGACGTTCTTATTGCTACAGTTAATTGAAGCTCCTTGAAAGTTGTCTAGTAAATGTTTAATTTTGGTTGCTAGGGTAAGCCAGGTTTTCCTGGTGACCATGGAATCAAAGGAGCAGAAGGACCACGTGGACCTGCTGGGGGCCCAGGTTTAGACGGATACCCTGGACTCCCGGTACAGAGCCTCAAAAACGAGACTCGCTGTCTCATGAACTTTGCAGTTCTACAGTATTCACAATGTATTTTAATCAGCCCTGTAGTTTAGAGTTGATGACTCTAAACCAATTTTCTGTTCATTTTTTTAGGGTCAAAAGGGAGACAATGGAGAGAAGGGTGAGACGGTGAGTTTATTCCTTATTTCTTAAAAATACATACCGTAATTTCCGGACTATTGAGCGCACCCAAATATAAGCCGTGCCCACTAAATAAAAAAATTAATAATAATTTTGGACATATATAGGCCGTGCTTGTCTATAAGCCGCAGATGTCCACATTGTATGAGATATTTACACAGAAATTTTTTTAAAAACTTAATTACATACGTATCGGTAACATACACCGATGCGTACAGTAAATGTTTTTTTTTCCTGAACAGTGCCTGTAACACGGATGGTTAAAAAATTAATAAAAATACAGTAGCCTACCAGGAAGTCATTGATCGCTAGCTTCATCTTCCTCCTGCACAAGCTTGTGCTGTCTTCCTGCTCCACTGGCAGACTTGAGCAAAAGTTGCTCTGCGCATGCAAGATAATCCCCGCCCCCCCTCCCCATTCTCTCCTCCCATCCCCCTTTCATTGGTTCACTGTGACCTGTTCGGTAATTTCATTGGTCAGATTTTATTTTTTATTTTTTACCTTTACTGTATTTATACAGGTAGTCTCATTGAGTCACAAGGACCCACCCTCCAAAAGAGACGTTTATTGCACAGCTATGTGAGCACCCGGGTGTGATGAAGCTAAATGTTTTGGCCGCATGAAGCTCGTTAGCTAATAAATTTTAAAAAATCCATAAATTAGCGGCAGCGTTCTATAAGCCGTGGTGTTCAAAGCGTATGAAAAAAGTAGCGGCTTACTTACAGTCTGGAAATTACGGTACTTTTTTCACCCTTTTAAAACTTCCATTGCAACTTTATAGTTGGACAATGTAAAATATTGGTAGCTTTATCTGTAAACTACAACGGTTTCTGTTTACAAAAAAAAGACTTCATCTGAAACACAATCTTACTATAAGGCATTTATTTGGATTTTATGTTTTAATACTTTCATTTAATATAACTTTATGTTTATTTTAACACAATTGCTTTCTACATGTTTAAAGTGGGTTTAGGTGCAAAAAACATAAAGGACTTGTGCTGGATAATTTAATTATCCTATCATCAACTCATTAAATACATAAGCCATGCAAAGAAAACTAGAAAATCTTGTCAACCCAGGTTTAATCTTGCAAGAGGTGCAGCGTTGAAATACAAGCATACAAGGTGTTACATGTCGCTCGCCGACAACGTAAAGGAGCATCAACTTATACTCTTAATCAGAAAAGACGAGGTCAAGACAACTCTGCTTTCCAGCTCGGGGGGCCTTGAAGTTTATCAGGTGCACAGGCTCCACTTTGTTCAGACAAAACAACTCTAACTCACACACATGGTTCTATAACGTTTGACATTAGTAAGTGGAAAAACTTCCATGGCCTTTACATCCCCCATCAACTTGTATGGTCAGTCTTGTTTATTTATTTTGTAATGCTATCGCAATATTACTGCTAAAATGTGATTTGCGATCCAAGGGAAGGCTATTGTAATTATTTCTCACTGCAACTGGTGAAAGATAGATAACATTTTTGCCCGTGTCTGTAACTCCAGCCCTTCTCAGCATAAGATGATTTTAATTTAAAACTCTGCCACGAAAATCACCAGGTGCTATGTCTTCCTTCGAAGAATGCAAGGCTTTTACTTTGTAGTTTTAGTTTTCTCACTACACTCTGCATGTTTCCTAGTTTCCTGCCTGATCTTTGTGCTCATTTGGAACACAGGGTCTCCCGGGACGAGAAGGCGGGCCACCCGGACCTCCAGGGCCTCCTGGACCTCCGGGTCAGATAGTCTACCAGTCGACAAGAGATGTAAGTCTCAGGCTAAACCGTGGCAAAAGCTTTTCCATGCAAAATAAAATTAACCCTCACATATCTGTGTGATGCCTCATCACTCTTTGCCTCAAACGTTCCCTCGCTCAACTTCACTAACAGTCACCGCCTGCCTGTTCGTTACTAACTGACCTAACTTTGTCTTGCTGTAGTCTAACGAGGTTTATTGGAACGAGGTGGGACAGGTGAGTGAACACTCCTTCAGGTTCTCCAACTAATCTCACCATAAACCTCACCGACTTTGACTCACAGTAACAAGTAGGGTGTAGGTTGTATTTTTGCTTAATCTGCTGTCATTTATTATTCTTTAGGGAGGCTCACGTAGAACAGGACTCCCTGTAAGTATAAATGTTGTTCTCATGCTATTATAAATAAGAAATTACTGGTTGAAAGAGATAAATGTATTATTATTTTTTGTGTTTTAGGGGCCCCTGGGTCAAAAAGGAGATAAAGGGGACATAGGTCCTCCAGGATATGCTCCTAAGGTAAAATATTACGTCTTTTTCATTATCTTTATACTCAACATAATAAATATTCAATCTTCCAGCGAAGGCTCTATTGCTCTTCTTTTAGCTATTGATTCAGGTTGAGCCGTTGTTTTAGATTTAACGGCTGCCTTTGATTCTGTCGATCCCAGTATTAATTAACAAGACTTGAACATGTTGGTCTTAAAGGCTCAGTTCTAATGTGGTTTAAGTTGTATTTAGCTGACAGGTTTTCTGTATCCATTTGGGAAAGCACCTCTTCCTCAGCACCTATTTCTTGTGGTGTACCTCAAGGCTCCATTTTAGGCCCTATTGGGTTTTATGCTGCCTTTGGTATCAATAATCTGAAATTCTAACATTTCCTTTCATTTTCATTTCCTTTCTCTTGAAAATGAGGCCTTGTGACTCACTGAGACTAACTTGTATAAATAAAGATTTAATGAATTGTTATGCTGATGACATTCAAATATATTTCCCTTTGAAACTGATGTCTCTGCCTCACTGCAGTCTCTAATCGTTACAAGATGTCAAAGACGGGTTAACTCAAAATTGAATAAATTAATTTCCCTGAATTAATGCAAAAATGAAATAGTTGTTTCAAGATACTGTACTCTTTTCAATGGGTTAACTGCAATCCTTGGCCCTTCTACTCATCATTGTTCCTCCGCTGTCAAGAATCTTGGAAGTGTTTTTAGGCGGTTCTTTTAAATTTGAGAAGCAAGTATCCACAGTTGTCAAAGCCTGTTTCTATTAGTTACATTAAACTGCCAAAGCAAAATCCTCCAAACTCTCATCCATGCCTTTATCACCACTAGATTGGTCTACTGCAACTCTATATTTGGGTCTTAAACAATCTTCCCTCCATCACCTGCAGTTAGTCCAGAATGGTGCTGCACACCTTTTAATGGACACTAGAAGGCATGGCCACATCAGTCCAGTGTAGCAGGTTTACATTGGTTGCCTATTCATTTTTGTATAGGTTTTAAGATTATATAACGTTTAAAGTTTTGAATGGCATTTCAACCAACAGTTTAACTGAACTTCTTGACTTTTATAACCCTAAAAGAGCACTGATCTCCTCTAGCCAGCAGTTCTAATTGCAGCTGAGGGCTGTATTTAAAGCATTGAGGGGACTAGGCTTTTGTAGTGGCAGCTCCAGACTCTGGAATATCCTACTCCTTGATATTCGCACATGTTCAAACCGGATTCCAAAAAAGTTGGGACACTAAACAAATTGTGTATAAAAACTGAATGCAATGATGTGGCGATGGCAAATGTCAATATTTTATTCGTAATATAACATAGATGACAGATCAAAAGTTTAATCTGACTAAATGTAACATTTTAAAGGAAAAATATGTTGATTCAAAATTTCACAGTGTCAACAAATCCCCAAAAAGTTGGGACGAGTAGCAATAAGTGGCTGGCAAAAGGAAATTGAGCATATAACGAACAGCTGGAAGACCAATTAACACTAACTAGGTAAATTGACAACATGATTGGGTATTAAAAAGAGCTTCTCAGAGTGTCAGTGTCTCTCAGAAGCCAAGATGGTAAGAGGATCACCAATTCCACCATTGTTGCACAGAAAGATAGTGCAGCAATACCAGAATGGTGTTACCCAGCATAAAATAGCAAAGACTTTTAAGTTATCATCATCAACCGTGCATAACATCATCAAAAGATTCAGAGAATCTGGAACAGTCGCTGTGCGTAAGGGTCAAGGCCGTAAAACTTTACTGGATGCTCGTGATCTCCTGGCCCTTAAACGTCACTGCACCTCAAACAGGAATGCCACTGTCAAGGAAATAACAGAATGGGCTCAGGAATACTTCCAGAAAGCATCGTCAGTGAACACAATCCACCGTGCCATCCGCCGTTGCCAGCTGAAACTCTACAGTGCAAAGAGGAAGCCATTTCTTCTAAGCAAGCTCCACAAGCTCAGACGTTTGCACTGGGCCAGGGGTAATTTAAAATGGAGTGTGGCAAAATGGAAGACTGTTCTGTGGTCAGAATTTGAAGTTCTTTATGGAACACTAGGATGCCATGTCATCCGGACCAGAGAGGACAAGGATAGCCCAAGTTGTTATCAACGCTCCGTTCAGAAGCCTGCATCACTGATGGTATGGAGTTGCATGAGTGCTTGTGGCATGGGCAGCTTGCATGTCTGGAAAGGCACCATTAATGCAGAGAACTATGTTCAGGTTCTAGAACAGACATCTGTTGTACAATTGAATGTTCATCCTAGTGTGATGAGGTCACACAAACTTTTGAGCTACCTGAACTTTTGGAAACATTTGCTAAGAAATTCTTCTTATTCCCACAACCGTTACAACTCTTCTCCAGTTTGTACATCAAAACAAGGGTGTTTCACACTGCTTTAAGACTTTCAGTTTTCTCTCAAATACCCCCAAAGTACAAAATGCTTGCCTAAATTCTCATAGACTTCCATTTAGACCTGTCACAATAACAAATTTTACTGGGCTATTAATTGTCTCAGAAAATATTGCGGTAAACGATAATATTGTTTGAAATTTTACAATAATTAGTAATTATTGTCAAATTTAAGAAGAAATGTTGGGTAATTTGTTTTGAGTGTAGTATCTTTTTTTGACCACCAGATGGCAGTATAAGACTGTTTTAACCGAAGGATGAATAGTGAGGGAGCAAGCAGCATGTCTCTTTAAGAAAAATGGGAGGGAGGCCTCTTGACATGACATGGGCTGTCTCTCTTCAGTTCTCAAAATGGTGGGCGCTCGGTTTGGTTTGAGCTCTTTAGCATAGTATTTTTCAAATAAAGCTTTTAATAAAAAATCAGTAAACAAGTTCTCAGCTTCTTTTTGCAGAGAAAAACAACTTTTTACACAAAGGCACGGGTTTCAACCATGAATTTTGGAGCTTCGACAAGACAAAGGTTTTTTTTCCCCAAGGTCGGCCTGTTAGCTTAGCTCGTAGCTTAGCTTCTCAGCTTAGCTGCTTTTAACGAACCAAAAACTCAATTTTGGACGGTTTAAACAGATTTTAAAGAGAAAGCGAGGGGTCAGTGAAGAGTGCCAGAGTTGAGCTTTTTGTCATCCAGTGTCTTCAGTAGAAAGAGAGAGACATGAAGAAACAATAAAACTGATAAATGAAAATGAGGTTGATGATTTTCATTTATCATGCGATTAATTGATTTATTGTTTATCGCAACAGGCATACTTCCATTATAACTGATCTCAGGGGGTTTTAGGTTTTCAAAACTAGAAGTGAAGGGTGTTTCCATCTTGTCATATTTTCTACATAAAACACTGCAGAAGCATAAAAGTCCAAGTACGACCATAAGACATTTTGGTCATTTATTGTTCAAGTTACTTTTTGGCCATATTTGACCTCTGGGGTACGTGAGGGGGGGGGGGGGGTGGTGCTATAGTTTTTCACAGTGAAGGTTTGTTTGTCTTCCCTAAAACTCTGTATTAGTGATTGCTTTTGGACATCAAATACTCTTAATTTTAATTCTGGATAATCTGTAAATAAGGATGTGAGATTACTGAGGCATGTTGGAGCTCACATGTCAGATTAGTTTTGGGTTTAGTTGTAAATTTTTTTTTTTAAGTAATTGCAGCATAAAGACATCAGCTTTTTTTTCTGCAACCTTCTCATTTTTTTGCTTTTTTATTGCAGTTTGCTAAATTAGAAAACATGTTTAAAGTGAAAAAATACGATGAAATTATCCTGTAATGAGGTTTTTTCAGCAACGTTTCAAAATTTAAAAAAAAAACGAAGTCCAGATGACATGATTCAACCTTTTTTGTTGTTATATACCTGGATGACTGAGAAAACAAACTTTGTGTTTTTGAAACCATTAGTGAAAAGGCCAGACTTCAGGGGTATCTGAGGCAGGCTTGAAACACAAGAGTCAGGGTGGCTTCTGGGTAATACCAGATGGCTAGGCCTCAGACTGACGAAGCCTCTTGGATGAGGGGCGAAACGTTTCTTTTTAACAAAAAAAAAAAAACAAAGTCCAGATGACATGATTCAACCTTTTTTGTTGTTATATACCTGGATGACTGAGAAAACAAACTTTGTGTTTCAAAATGGTTTTCCAGGGACAGAAAGGAGAGCCCGGCATCATTATGGGGCCTGATGGGAAACCTATGTATCTGGGGGGCCTGGCGGGGCAGCCGGTAAGTTTATTATTCGAACTAATGTTATTTTATCTTCTTATCCTTATGCACTCTTTTGCATCTTTTCTGTCTAAAAATGAAAAAGCTAATTTATCAGCCCTGAATCAGGACTAATCATCGTGTAAATGCATTAAAATATGTTTTTGTGTGTGAATTTGCAGGGTGAAATGGGAAGTCCTGGCCCAGTTGGACCTCCAGTATGTATAGATTTTAACATTTTTATTTATTTCCTGCCTCTGAGGGTTAGCAAAGCATCTGAAACACTGGACAAATTTTAATGGAATTACTCGTTGGATGTACCATGTAACAACAAATAATTAACTTTAGCATGAGCCTTAACCAAACATAAATGGCTATAATTGTGTCAACCTTACAGATATTATTAATCTGTAATTTGGTGTGGTAACAGTTAGGGTCAAATTAAAAACTGTCTCGCAAATCCCTAAGAACCCCGTTGTATGACTTTTATCGGGTGAACCAATCACTGAAACTATTTCCACCACTTTACATTTGTTGTTGAAACTGCCACTCCTCAAACATGTCAGTGGCTAGGAGCATCACTCCAGTCATATTATGTAGGTGGCTGCTCCTGTCCTGCAGCCTCTGCAGCTATGTACTGAGAGGAAGAATCACTATCATCTGTTCATATAAACCAGAACAGACTTATGTTGAATTTACATTGTTTTTTTGTTTTTTTATTGAAGTTATATAAAGCAAAATCTTGACTGCATATAAAACCTGACCATAATTTTATTTTTCCTGTGATTTTCAATTGAAAGGTTGAAAGGCTTTTCAAAATTTTCATGTGAGTTGTATTGGTAAAAAATATTTTCATTAGAAAATTAGAAATAGTTTCAATAGAAACAATAAAGTAGTGATTACAAAGTTATTAAAAAGACATAAGGATTAAATAAAAATCTACAAATATCCAGTGAATTCTGTTCTGGCTAATTCAAAAAACACATAGAGAGGGAAACATATTTCATACATCTATAGAGACAGAGATTGACATAGACAGAGACAGAGATGGATAGAGGCAGAGACAGAGATGGATAGAGACAGAGATGGACAGAGACAGAGATGGATATAAACAGAGACAAAGATGGATATAAACAGAGACAGAGGTGGACATAGACAGAGACAGAGATGGATAGAGACCGAGATGGAGATAGACAGAGACAGAGATGGATATAGACAGAGAGGGATCGAGACAGAGATGGATATAGAGAGAGACAGAGATGGATAGAGACAGAGAGGATATAGACAGAGACAGAGAGGGATAGAGACCGATGGATATAGACAGAGAGGATATAGACAGAGATAGATATAGACAGAGATGGATAGAGACAGAGATGGATAGAGACAGAGATGGATAGAGACAGAGATGGATAGAGACAAAGGGGATATAGACAGAGACAGAGAGGGATAGAGACAGAGATGGACATAGACATAGATGGACAGAGACAGAGATGGATAGAGACAAAGAGGATATAGACAGAGACAGAGATGGTTAGAGCCAGAGATGGACGTAGACAGAGATGGGCATAGACTGAGACAGAGATGGATATA